GTTGAACGTCGAGAGAGACGTGCGGGTAGGAGAATCTTGACGAATTCGCTACCTGTAGAACGCATGCCGTATATTCACATGGCAATGCCCCTTGCCTTTGCTTTCCTATCCTGATGAACCAACGAGGCCCTTCCTAAATTCCAACATGTCTGAAATATATGTTGACTAGTTCAAGCCGGAAATTGCACGTTTCTCCTCCACGGAGGACTCGTTCGGTGGTGACTCGGTGGTGGGGGACGCTGCACCAACGACATCTTCTTTTCGAAAGCCATCATCGTGTGGTGTAGGTGTTGCCTGGGGGTCATCTTTTGGGGTTTCGGAGGAGGTCTGTTGTTTGGTGCCGGGATGGGGCGATGATGCTTCGGACACGTCGTGGGAGGCCTCATGGTCGGCGGCGGCGTCGGAGAAGGCCGTCAGGGGACGGTCGCTCGCCTGAGAGAGGATGCTTTCGCTGAAGGACGCGTGTGTGGGGGGGCGGGCATTGTACTCGTCTGTGGACGTCGATCGGGACTGTGGCTGGCTGACCATTTGATAATCCTTCTCGATGGGACTTGTGGATGGAGAGGAAGAATCTACTCCGGAAGGCTTGCCGTTGGTGGTGGTGGTGGTGGTGGTGGTGGTGTTGGTGCTGTTGCTGTTCTTCTTGCCCCAGCCGGCGCCCCAGCCGCCCGTCTTGCGCTTCTCGCCTGCCCACGTCGCCCAGCTTGACATGTAGGCGCTTGCCTTGGCGCCGACGGTGTTGACGGTTTGTTGGGCTCTGGCGAGATCGACTGGGTAAGCGCCCTTATCCGTGGGAGACTTTGGCTCCTGGGTGCGCGTCTCTTCGGCACGGCGCCGTTGTGACTCTCGTAGGTATTCTATGTCGGAGTAGAGCTTGTTGAACATGGTCGAGGCCTTTTCGCGGCCTGCGGTCAGATTTCTTCCGAGAATGTCTCGGCCCTGTGCCAGGCGCTCGTCTAGGTGAAGATCCTTGATTTGGTCTGCCACTCTGCGTTGAATGTCCTCAACGGTCAACCCGCCTGCACACGGATGCTTGGGTTCAGACACGGCAAATAGGTTCGTATCGGTGTGGACATTCCACATGCGATAGTTTTCCGTCTTTGTCCACGCCTCTACCCACTCAAGCCCAAAATCAGCGGCTGGGTCGCTGTCGGCTCCTAGGCTTGACGTGTCATCTCCTTGGCCGGCCAAAAAGTTGTGGTATTTGACCGAAGATATCAACCCCAGCATGTACGCTTCGAACTGCGATCTAATAAACTCCTCGCTTCCCACGTATTGCATGTTTTTCGGTCTGCTGGGGTTGGCTTCATCCCATGTCTCATTCACCTCGTGGGTCAGGAAGTCGATCCATCTACGATCCGCCGGAGTCAGGGCCAGCGCTGATTTTAGCGAGGGCGAAGTGATGTTGACAGTGTCTTCGTCTAGGTTGATGAGAATATCGCTGTATCGGTCCTTCTGCTGAAGAAGAAGGGAGTTGGTGCTGCCCACGATGTAGGATTTTGTTCCGAAGTCGGCCAAGATGTCGAGCTGTTGCAGTGGCGTGTAAGGGCCGAAGAAGCCACCCTGCGTGCTTTGTTAGTATTTCAAGTCATCAAAGGGATGCTCTGGAGGCCTGAGGGGGGCTTCATGAACGAACTTTGCCAAATATTTGTAAGGGTAATCCCATGAAAGATAGCAGAGAGCTTCGATTGCTGCTTTGCAAGCTGGTGGGTTGGGCGAGTTTTGTTTCGTAGCTGTGCAATTCGGGGTCGGCACAGTCTTGCAGGTTACGGATGAGACCAGGTATCAAAGATATGAGAGAAAATTGAACCATACACAGCCTGTCACATCTGGACCCGAAAAATAGCATCTTGGCTGATATTAGTGCCACGGAGAACGTGAAGGCAGAAACAAAGCACATGCGGTTCGTACCTTTGGCTGCAACAAACAGCACTTGAGTAGCACCAGAGCCTGCCACTTGAACTCATGAATGAGCTCACGCAAGCTCATGCCCAAGTACAGATCCCGCTCGCTCTCACCTTTCAGTGTGCCTCTTGCTTTCTCATCTGCAAGACTCTCCTGAAATCGTCGCAAGATGTCTGTATCCGTGAATTCCCGTTGCGCAAACCAAGCCTGGGTGACAATGCTGAGTCTCTCGCGCAGCATGCCGAAACCTTGGGGACTGTCGACAATTACAACCACAGCCTTTTGCACTGTAGATCTGGTTACATCTGCTGGCCGATTTATCAGCTGGAACGAATCGAGTTGCCTTGTACATGAGATTCCAAATAGTGATGTGGCGGGTTCCGAGTCTGTTTTGGGCTTCAGGAGTGTGAAGTAGGAGAAGTCCTCCTCGGATCTAGGTCTTAGGTCAGTCCTGTATCACCCAGGGAATGGGGTTTGCCTTGCCAGCATAGACTCACGCATGGGCTCCGTCGCTCAATGCCATAAAAGGCAGCAACGGCCAATTGTATTTGATAGCTGGATCGATTCCAGCTGCGGCACCGAACCAAGTCTCAACCTCCGGTCCTCGGGCGTGATGAAACCCGACAACTGTTACCAGCGGCGAAAATCCATTGTTGCTCAAGCTGTTCTCGTCGGTAAGAGGGACCGAAATTAGCGCGGGAGGAGCTTCTGTTCCGTTCGGCGAGCTTGTGTCGTTGGGTGCGTCTTTCTCATCTGCAGAGGCCATTGTCGCAGAAAAGTATATCGCATCAAGAGGCCCGTGATTTTCTATTTTTTTTTTCTTTTGTATATATTCGTCTGCAACTATAAAAGCAACGCCATGCGAAGGTCGGGCCGGGAAGATAAAAGGTCAAGACTGATAGAGATTGTGCAATGCTGCGTAACCCGACCCAGATCCAGATGTCAAAGTTGTGTATGGAATTGATCTTTGAGCGAGAATAGTGAGAATGCAGGATCGTGGTACGAGTCGCGCGGATTCAGGAGTTCAATCTCTCGGGGTTCGACTTCAGCAGTGAGGCGGGTGGTTCTGGCTTGCCGTACGACTTTACGCAGCGACGGGCTGGCAACGAACGATGGGTTCAGAGCGTGGCGATTGAAAATACGAGAGGGTAGGAATTGTCAGCAGTCTATCTGCCAGTCGCTTCGTTGACGTCGCGCGAGGTATGCAAGGTGAAGTGTCGATGCGGCGAAGATTAATATCGGAACAATCATAGTTCGGCCCGGCTGGCCAGACCACCAGACCTGGTGGTTCACGGGACCAATATCCGTCAACTAACCAACATGTGCAGCCTACCCTGCAGGAAGGATGTGCCATTTCACGACAGCATATGCCACGATGTGAGTCTGTTGGTTCAAATTGGCACACAAGTGACACAACTGTTCCATCGTTCATGGCAGTAAATCTATTTCCGTTCCACTGTTTCCAATGACAATTTCTCTCGTATGGATAATCCCAGGTTCGGCCCGTGCCGTCCGTCCGTGCAATGCCTTGAAATGGTTGCGGCCAAGGCGGACGAGAGGAAGAGGAAAGAGAAAAGAAAGGGATAAACACATCATGAAATCCCAGGATCATGCACCGTGCCGGCTTTGAGTGGAGTGTATTCTTAAATGACGCCTTCGACGAGTGCTGTCCACGCCATTAACAAGAGCTGGCGCTAGAATCAAGCCATCGCCAGGCTTATAATTATCATGCATTAAATGTCCTAGAGCGCAAGTTGAGAAAACGCTCATTGTTTAATAAGGGGTTTTTTTTTTTTTTTTGCAAGTCACTTCCTCGACCGACCATTGCACTCACAACCCGGCGCTGCCTGATTCATCATTCCGTGCGCAGTGATTGGTTGATTCCATGTCCGCCAAAAAACAACAACGGGTCGTTTACCCTGTATCATAACTACCTGGTAATACTTCATGGCTTCGGACCCAGACCATGATCAACGCTCCGGCCCTGGTCCCCCCAGCATCGCTTCCAGTGATCGGGAATCGAATCCCGACACGTGGAAAATCGTCCATGTACATACAACAAGACCGACCAGTATTATGTGGTCTTTTAAATTAGCCTTGCCTGTTTGGCTCGGCACATACTCGAACGATGGCGGGTTGACACCGAGCTTGTTCTTCTTCTACCCGTGCCCGTGCCAGTGCGGGAACCCCTTGCGACAAATAGAACAATGTTGTCGAAAAAGAGCTTGGCGGATGCAAACATGACGCCTCTGATACTGGGCCCAGATTCCACGGCTCATTTTCTAAATGCTCCAGATAGAGGGTATTCAGAATCAGGGGTTTGCATCTGTGGGTCTTGCCATGTGGGATGCCGGTCTTTCAATTTTCTCAACAAGGCTCAAACAATATGCCGCATGCAGGTCGAAGAACTCGTAATAGGCACGGATCCGTATGCTCCGTATTATGGGTTGATGTTTTGTTCTTCGACCTGCATGCGGCACGTTGTTTGCTGTCTCGTATGTGCATGGGTTTGGTGGTGTGTCAGCCCCTATTATAAGCATGGGCCACATGGCGTTCCAGTTACGTGGACATTAGCACCAGCCCGAGCACCCGAGTTGAGATGGGCGCGCCGCCAAAATGCTGACTGATTGCAACAGTAGGCGACCTTAGGAAGTCGCGGGTCGGTTTTAGTCGACAATTTGGGGACCTGGTGCATACAGCCACTCTAATAAGGGCAGGTATCATCTACCTTCTACCTGACGTGTTGCCCATGAGGCGTAAACGAGATCTCGAATAAACGAATGCGATGCCTAATAAGATTATTAGGACGCGAAGCTATCGCAATAATGTGCATACCATGTCTTATTGTTGCTAAAACCTCCATGTTTACCTTGGAAGCTGATTATGAATAGAGAATAAAACCTCACCTTTATCCTAATGTAGTAGCATAATGCAAAATCTTCCAAGCTTTCTTAAGCTCAGTACGTTACTACTAATAGGCTTTACGGGATAACTTCTAGCGAGGAGGGCACTTGAGATGTAATATAACATTTGTCGCGGGACACCTGTAATAATCGTTCATAGTAGCAAATAAACATTGGCATTTCATTGCAAAAGCCCCCGTGGCCTAATGGCTAAGGCGTGAGACTTCTACTGCAAGTTTCCCTCCAGGGGTTCTAATCTCAAGATTGCGGGTTCGAGTCCCGCCGGGGGTTGAGCAACATCTGCAAAGATTATGCGCAATTTCTACTTTTTATTTTTGTGAAATTTCCCCTAATCTAGCACAGCACTACAACCATAGGATATTTTCCTATGAATTTGTTTTGTCAGTACACGCTCACTATTTGAGACCCTAGCTTGCTAGCCAAAATGTCCTGGAATGAACCTACAGAACAGACCTGGATTGCTAGTCGTCGCCTACGCAATAAGATAGCTTGTTAGCTTATAACTCCGTACTTCCTGATAAGTATAGTGATTTTACATGATGCAAGAAGACAATGGGAATATATTACATGTGCGATAACATGGTTCCCCTTTCTAGGAATCTAGGCAGGTAATAATCCCAATGTCTGATTGACACTGTCGCAACCAGCCAGGACTGTCAATCCACCAATGCGGAAGAACACGCCAGTCGCAGTCGGATAGTTTAATCCTTGACCACATGGGTTAGATAATATGTCCCTACTCCGTATGCGTGCCTGATGAGCACGGGACGCTCGTGGCCTCAAGAGGAGCTGCCAGCTGCCGGACCTGTCAAATGTCCAGAACGGCTGGGCTGACTGGGGTTGGACTGGCCTCCACCCCTGCACATCCACACTTTTTCTTTGACCAGACTAGTAGGCCAACAGGCCAGAGGTAGCTAAATAAATCTAGTGGACTTGCAGTCGCCCAGTCGCCCAGTCGCCCAGTCGCCCAGCACAGCCAGCCGCTGTCCGCTGCTCAACTTGCAAGGTTGACTTGCTGGCTTGGCTGGCTGGCCGTCACATGTATTACCCCCGGCACCCCGTCATCCAAACGTCCCCTGCCAACCTGCGCATGCCGCCCACCCACCTGCCCCAAGCGCTCGAGGGTTGCTCTCCTCCATTCTACCCCGACTCCGGTGGAGAGCTCCACGCTGCTAGACTTGGGACAATTCTCTCGGCTACACGCCAAAACACTTATTACTCACACTCATCATCTCTGTCCTAACTGTGGACTTGTCCCGGCTCTCACGGGCAATAGAGACGAGTCGACATCGACAGGAATCAAGGCCGGCTTTTGCTCAATCTCGCCCCACCGCCTCGAATCTCGATACAATCGCTCGCCTTTCGTTGTACCTTTTCGACCTGGCCGTGACGAGCTGCCTCGCGAAGCAGCGACCTAGAAGCGCAGGGCAGCCGAGAGAGCAACAGAACCTGCACGACAAAGGCAGCCGGCCCCCATGGTCGACTGTCTGCCCCATTGTTGCGAAAATTGGAAACGAGCGACCCTCTTTCGCCCATTGTCCGAGCCTTCATCGTCCTCGAAACCATCAGCAGCACGTCCATCTCTGTCTGCCAGCGCATCCGGCCGTGACAATTCTCGTGCTGCCATGCGCATGCGGAGTTGCGGACTATATATACGCCTTTGTTGATTTCCAAGTCCGATAGCCCTCAGAACATCAACTCTGGTCGCAGATCCGCGCCGACGTGCTAGCGTCGAGCCGTAAGGGCCCTTTCACGATGGGTGGGTGTATGAGCTCAAGTAGTGAGGAGGCAGAACAGAAGAAGAAGAGCCAAGCCATTGATAGAGTAATCGAGGAGGATTCAAGACGACTACGGAAAGAATGCAAGATCTTATTGTTAGGTATGGCTTCCCACACGAGCAGTCGCTAATACAAACACCCCGGACACAGAACACTGACAACTGAACTGGCCAACAGGATCCGGCGAGAGTGGCAAGTCCACCATCGTCAAGCAAATGAAGATTATCCACCTCAAAGGTTATTCAGAAGATGAATTGTACAATTATAGGCCCACCGTCTTCAAGAATCTTGTTGAATGCGCCAAGGCCGTCATAACAGCAATGCAGCAATTCGAGATTGAACCGCAGAGGAAAGAAAACAGAACCTATGTAGATTACCTTTTATCGTACCAGGCCGAATCCGGCCCTCAAGCGCAGATTGACCCTCAAGTCGGCGTTGCTGTACAGTCACTGTGGGCGGATCCTGCAAGAGACCGATTGATGGAGCATCAGACCGAGTTTTATCTGATGGACTCGGCAGAGTAGTGAGTGCAACCCGGCTTTCAGCATGTTAAAATCTGTCATGACAGTACTGAACTTCTCCTCTTTGCAGCTTCTTCCAAGAGGTAATGCGAATAGTTGCGACTGATTATCTCCCAAATGAGATACCGTGCACATTTGAACTTATACCCGCAGTAAGTCACGGAAAGGAGGCACCTGTATTGATCACTACCCTCCACTGGAGTTGACTGACACCGGCATAGCTTAACGCAAGCGACCGACACATCCAACATTCGATTAGTATTCGCCGCTGTTAAAGAAACAATATTAAATAATGCTCTCAAAGACTCTGGAATTCTATGACGGGGCCATCGCGATGGCTAGATGATACGAGCAAGCAAGCGGGCTACGGGGTGCGGGCGTCCTAGAGCAGCTTTCAAGGAGTTTATGGTGGCGTCTTGATCCTCTTCATTTTGCTCATACAACTCTCGACCCCGTTCTATTCAAAAAGACAAACTGGGTTTGGTGACTCCACAGGAGCCTCAACTGAAGTTGCCTTTGAATTTGCGGCAAACTCAACGAATTTTACCTTGCCATACAACTCGAGGAAGCGGAAGAACGGGGCTACAGAAAGAAGTGCTTGCCAAACTTTCGCTGGTATTGCTTGACTACGAGAAACAAGACACTGGACCACGCCGGGTGGCAATGACGGAATGTTTGGTGATGACTCCTTGGTGCGACGGAGTTGGATAGGTATGTGGGCACACCAACGAGCTTTGGCCCGGTAATACACTTGCCGTCGAAGCACATGTGCGTAGCGACTGAAGTGCAGGAGGATACGATGCGATGCAGGAAGCGGCAGACATTGCAAGCGGATTCTTTGACGCGCTCACTAATGACCACAATGACCACAATTAAAGTCGTTGGCCGACGAGAGGGGGTGATGGATGATGTTTAGAATCCCTCTGTCACGTCATAGATGGCCACATAATCAACTTTGTTTTCTCTTAAATCCAAACTGTAGCATTGGAAAAAAAGAATCCCAGTGGGAAGACTCGAGTGAAGGTTGTACTGCATTTGGATCCTCCTTGGACGAGCAACCTTGTTGGTATAAGATGCGCTGGTATCTGATGGATGAGTGGGGGAAAGTGGTTGTGGTGGAACCTGAACCTGGGAAGCTGGGGCTCCTTACGGAGTATGTAGTCCCGGTCTGGATCGTACATAGACCCTTTTACCCATCTGGCGATGCCGTGGACTCGCTTGCGATATTACAGATGGGCTGTAGATGTTGTGGAGCACTCGTGGCCCAATGAGGGAGGCCAAGAATACTGCGATCCCAACTCAGGAAATTGCGTGCGAGACGGACAACTTGGTACGGGCATTATGTGAGGGGAAATGAATGACACTCACTCTCACTAGCACCTTGTTGGGTTGCTCACGATAACGGCTTCGCTAATGGGTTGCATGCATTGCTAATAGTTGACGCGGCCGGACTTACCGGTTGTATTTTCACGCGTACATATGGCGTTCTATGTCGCATGGCCGGCCACAAATGATCTCACGAAAGCTCAAGGAGAGAGACGTGTCAAGGTTAGGCAAGGTGCTTTTCCCGTCCGTTACAATGGGCTGAGTTTACTTCTTAATCTCTTCTCTCTCCCCTCGTCCTGGCCCCCCGTTTCCCCCTCTCCCCCTCTCCTCCTTTCTCTCTTTTTCTTCTTAGATGCCCCAGCTTCGTTCTGCCTATCGTCTAATGGTGTATTGTTTGCTCGATTGAAAACTTGAGGCTTCCTCGCTGTTATTCTCTGAGCCGTGATCGACAACATCTGGGGAAACGGAACTCGATTTTGTATTAGCTCGGAAGCTTCTGGCAAACGCCCCCCCTGTCCCACCCCCCCCCAACGCGCGCTTCTTTCATCACCCCGCTTTCTGAGTCGTACGTTTGGCCCCACCATAGCTCCCCGCTCGCAAAAGGCGCACGCACCCAGGGTGATCGAGCAACCACCCGAGATTGGGATTTTGTGCTTTTGCTGGTTTGCGAGATATTTAAATACCCTGAGGAGGAAGCGCCCTTGATCCGAGATTTCCCCTGTTTAATCCTGCTTTACGTGGGAAATGATCGACTACTGACCTGCTGCTTTCGCAGAGACGACGATACATACCATGGCGACTGAACAGCAGCGACTGCCGACGAGGGAGAGACGCCCCTCCACTGGAGCTCCCATTGTGGACATTACCGGCGGGGTTGGGCCCGCAGGCATCTCTCGTCCCAAGCACAAACGAACATTTACTGGCTTTGGTGCCGGGGAGATCAAGAGTGTCGAAGGTATGTGTGTCTCCAGCGTTGTTTCTTTCTCCTTCTTCCTCGTTGGTGCTGCCGGCCTTCGTTTGTGGTGCACAATGCGTGATACATGTTTAGGATCAAGTGTACCAAGCGCGGGCATCCGCATCTACTGCGTTGGACTGAGCTTTGTCTGACGGGGGAACCATGTACAAGCATCCATCCCCGAGCCCCAGCGTGAGGCTTGGCAACGAAACCAAGTAACCAGCTTCCGCGACAAAGATGGCTTCGAGCGAGAAGTCGTTCGACATGTGGAAACGACCCTGGCCCGAAGCATGTTCAATTGCGACGAGGTTGCAGCTTATTCGGCTACAAGCCTGGCTTTCCGGGACCGTCTCATTATCGACTGGAATAAGACCCAGCAGCGGCAGACGTATCGTGACACCAAGAGAGTGTACTATCTGAGTTTGGAGTTTTTGATGGGCAGAGCTTTGGATAATGCTATGCTGAATGTTGGCCTGAAGGACATTGCAAAAGGTCTGTCCGTTACTCTTCAGGGTCCAATTGATGATGGCCTTCTTCTGACTAACTTTGACTCGAATTAGATGGGCTGGATGAACTCGGCTTCAGGGTTGAAGACGTGATCAAACAGGAGCATGATGCCGCCCTTGGAAATGGTGGCCTTGGCCGCTTGGCCGCTTGTTTCCTCGACAGCCTAGCTTCTTTGAACTTTCC